TTTTTCTCATTGGATAACTTTTACGCCTAGAAGCGTTCATGTCACGAACGATGTTTCATGAGCCAGTACTCTTTACATACCTCAGTATCATATAATACAATAATAATATCATAAACATGGCTTCGTATGCCGAAGAGTTTAATAAGTGCTTAGCTCCTCTAACATCAGGTTTCATGACATATATACCTGAACTTTGCTCCAAGCTGCCCAAGATACCATCTCTGCAGGCGAAAACTCCATAATGTCTGAGTAACTGTAGTGCGAAACGCATCATTTAATTTGTTGGAGGAACCTCCTGCTCTTCACAAATTTCAAGAGCTGGTGCAATTTATATGTACACCATAAACATAACAAACATGGCTTCGTACGCTAGAGCTGGTTACTGGTGCATCGCGCATCGCTTTACTGCATAAAGCAATAGTTCGCCCACCATGAACAATGCAACGCACTCCAGCACGCGAAAACGAATTTCTGATGATTGAGTGGTAGACGCCTGAAACATTGTCTATGACAAGCAAGAGATTCTTTCATATATGACGATGACACCCGAGACTCAGAGAACACAATGTTCCTGAGGCAGTTCCGTCGGGACGAACTTCGTAAAATTAAATCGAGTGGAATGACTGGATACGATTAATGTTTGAATTAAAACCCAAAAAAGGATCATGACGTTTCATTATGCCGTCCATCCTTTGAACAAAGGATGATATTTGTCACTGTCATCTGTAGGAAGGAAGACAAACAACAAAAAACGTTAGCTGCATCCCTGCACCGAAGTTCTCATAATAGCAACTCAGCATAACGATCATAACGATCAGCCTTGTGATTCATAACCTAGCTATCTTGAGGAAGCGCAACCCATAGCCGGTCGCTGCTAACCGCTGTGATAAACGCGCTAGTAGTCAAAGCGGAATATTCGTCCGTTGACGCTGGGGTCTAAACTTAGGCCAAATTAAAGTTATTTTTAACCTGGAAATGCACGTCACTTGGACTCGTGCTACGCAGCCAGGCGAAGTCGAAAAAGTTCTGCGCGAAGAATGTTGAAGCGTACGATGAATCAGCAGGAGGCCAAGATCCATATCTACATTCCGCGAGACGACTTCGTTTCAGGAACGGTGCGGCCGAAATAAGGAACCGCATGACTGCCACCGTAGCCGCATCTGCATTAAATGGGTGTCGTTCATCAGTGATCACGACCCAGTCACTGAAGCGAATCGTTAATGACCGCCGTTACACCCTTCCATGACACGAGACAGACTTGGTGGTTCACGTATGACTGACGAGGAATGTGAAATGAGTCTGTGGCTGAGATACTGAAGAAACAAAGAAAGAACTTTGTAATCGTTGACACGTCAAGAACATCGGTCTCGGTTACATCCCCCCCCCGATGGGCATCATGTTTAGTCACCTGATATAAAGGCGTTCATTGAGTGACATCGACCTCCTTTTTAATGCCATTACTCCGGATCGCGCTTTTCTGACAGATTTTGGATTCGAATCCTGATTAAGACACTCGCCTGATTCTATTCCAGACAGATAAACGAAGATTACTTGCTGCGAAGGAAACAGGTTGCACACTGTAATCGCTGACTATCTGTAGACATTGACTTCAAAAAATCACAAGGGTTGACAGCATCGAAATAAAGATCAGCCTAGCATTATAAGCACGATGAGAAAACTCAGCTACTATAATTACTGCCCATAATGATGAGCAGAACCTTCAGGGTAACAAACTTTCTTTTCCGCCCCTCTTTCTTTCATGTAGTGCCAAAAATTAAGTAATCTTCATGAAGGTAATCAATACAAGTACATAGTGTACTGCAGGTTGCAGCATACTATCTAAATCCCACACACTGCTACTCATTTGGTTAACTTAATCAAGATTCGAACCTGCAGTATTTCCACAATGACGTAGGCGTTTTACTGACCCCGCTACCAAAGCATACTCTCGGAAATTCCTGCTGATTCACCGGTGAATGATAATACGAAAGATTTCTAATTTAATGCCTACAAGAATAAAAACATTGAAAAAATATCCAAAGTTCGACGTTTCAGATAATAACGCGATACATGATCTGTCACTGTGGCAATAATTAACGTCCTTATTGCCCGATGTAACTTATGCTTTTATTCATTCCTTTAACAACTGAATTTAAATACTCTTATTATTATCAACTGGCACTGAACGCCTACGTACCTCCAAAGAAACGTCAAATTAGCTCAACCAGTAGAGTGCTGGATTCGCCATCAAAAACCTGCGCTACGAATCCTGGAGGGGTCGACAGCCTTCCACCCATATTCATTTATTCCTTTTCAAGGCTGGCCATTAATCTCGAATGGTGAAGACTGTTGCTTCATGAAGCTTTTTCAACGGTTTCGTTCCTCTGCCAAACAGACAAACTCAACGGCATCGATTCCAAGGCGAAAAAATGTCACGTTCTCCACATTATAAAGCAGTTTGATCCGTTGCCTGCCTCGGGACTATTTTCACTGTGCCCTTGGCAAAAAACTTGGCACTGCAAGTCTCACCTTGGCATCCTCAGCTTTCCAGCCGTCTTAGGTAAATACTGAATTGGTGTCCCAAAATTCGTGTTGTTTAACCTAACAAAAGGTGATATATTCTAGGTCTATGGCAAAAGTTGCTAAAACACCATGGATTCTACACGTGCTCAAATTATACTCTAACTTCAGTGCTCATTTAGGTCCCTAGCAAAAGGGACAGCATCGCTATGAATACCAGCTGGGTGGAATTAACACATTGCCAGCATAGGAACTCATACTTTAGATGCTGCATTCGGAAGCGCCTAAGGATTACCGGTTCCTGAAACATGATTGGTGGCAAGTGAAGCCCAAACATAGAAAAAAAAATTCGAGTTAAATCTGTGACATGTGGCAGCAAAAACCAAATCGCGACCAACATGATATAGATGCTCGCTGGCACCAGTTGGGCAGCAGAAGCCAGCATCCCACATATTTCAGGCGTCACTCCCGCCATATGAGAGGCAGCATATTGTGCCCACCTCCCG